ATTTCGGCACGGTGAAGCACACATCAACATCGACCCAAAAAAAACACAATGACGCTAAGTATCTTATTTAGATGAAGTCAAGGTGAAGGCAAGTTGAAGGTGATATCATATGGTATCCGCCCCGTATCCCCCGCCGATTTACCCCCGCACGGGGGTTAAACAAGGCGGGGGATGCGGGGCGCATGAGGAGAACAAATCTATGCATGATCCGACACTAACGATGGTTGAACGATATCTGACGCTGCGTTTGGCATGTTCCGGGCCACGGGAGGAGAAATTGAGAGCACTTCGCGGTAGGACGTCGGGGTCGGCGGTCCTAAAAAATTACTCCATGTCGTGCGAGGCGAAGCAGGGGCCGAAGACGCTCGTACGGGCGCTCCCGCGGCGCTGAGGGGACGGAGATGAGGGATCTTAGTTTCTGCGGATTCCCCCAGGGCATGGACTGAAGTTTCGGGACGTCCGACCCCGAGTTCCTACTGCGAAGTACTCTCATAATCTCCCCTCGAGACTCGCAACATACCAAACTCAGAGTCAAAAATCGTTCGAACATCGTACTGCAAGCGTTTGTGGTCCACAACTCGCTTAGGATACCTAGGATATGCGTCTCATTTTTGAAAGAGACAAAACCCATCTGCTAGCGATAACCCGGATCTTATTATACTAGAGTATCGAAATCTACGCTAGTCGCATACTACCCCGAGAAGCGTCTATAAGGAGCAGGTCCTTGTATGCCGCTCGCGCGAGCGAACCTGCCATCTCGAGTCCAAAATCAGCACCCTCGCGAGCCACTACAGCCCCCGACTCGGAGACGGCCACCTAGCGACCCCAGGACGTCCGCTGAGCTCAGCGGAACCGAACGCACATATATACACCCCCACCAGGAATTAATCTCAGAGACTCAGGGGGGTCGACCGTGAACGGACCCCAATTGGCGTAAAAGCAGTTTCCGCCCTCTTGTCGACCTGCGGCGCGCTCGGGACAGGCGCGCCAGACCTCCCGCCCGTACAGACAACGCTAGCGTACATATCGAACACAGGCCCCGCCCTGTGCTGGCGACACCCTCTAGTGGAGCTGCAGCGATTGAAGCGGCTTGAGTGCAAGTACGAGAATTGAGGCCCACTTATTTGTCGAGGCGGTCGCCAGGATCAAGGCGGTCGCCAGGATCATCGGTGCAAGTAGATCGGTGCAGAGGAGGCCGGTAAGACAATGGAAACATGGTGCACTGCAACGTTGTCAATGATTGTCCCCCTCCAGAAGGGATCGAGCAAACTGAGGGAAAGAAGCTAGACCACGCCCAGCTCCAAGCAACTCAGAGTGTTCCTTCAGATTGTCTTCTATACTCTTGCTCCCCAAGACTCGAGCGATGCTCGGAAGAATCGACCAACCTTCATCCACTCGATTTGGAGAGAGCAGCAAGCTGATTCCCAGACCGTGAGTTTCAACAACAGCTCCCCAATGGAACTGGTCGCCGTACAGAGGCAATACAATCAATGGTACACTAGCAAGAACGCTTGCATGAAAAGAACCGGAATCACCTTGAGTGATGAAGACAGAAGCGAACGGGAGATAGGCATACTTGTGATGCCGATCTTTTGAAGACACGAAACGAATGGAATCGTATCCTTGCCGACACCAGTATTCTTGGTCGGTAACTTCGACTAAGGAGATGTACTCTGACTGGGCAAGGGCCTGCAACACAGCGGGCAGATGACTGTTTTCGTGGCAGATTGAGTTGAGCGATACGAATACAATGGGCGCTTTGACATTTTCCAACCAAGTTTTCATCTCACCATCCAGGGCGGGGGGCGATTCAAACAGGGGTCCAATGTACTGTGCATCGCGTGTTGGGCAAGTCAGGTAACCATTTCCGAGAACGAATTGAGGTCTTGTGCAGTAAACAACAGTTTCCGTAAGGAAATGACTGGGAACTCCAAACATACTGTCCAATGTTTTCCTTGGTGTGAAGAAAAGCATAACACGCAATGCAAATAGTGCCAAAAGTAAGTATATTTTTACAGCAAAGAAATCTACCGTACATAGGGAACCAAGTCTAAATAGTTGGCAAGAGCTTTGGCATGCATCGATGATGAATTGTGGTCGGAATTTGACCCCTTCGTGGAAGAGAACAATACGTGGTATGGTTTTACATTTTGCAGCAAGCGCCTCGCCCTTGAATATTGAGTCAAACACGCTCGCTGATATTTTGTCCATGATAACTAG